GTGGTACTGGAGAAGAGTATTGAGGGTACCATGGACTGCTAGGGAAACAAACAGATTCATCCTGGAAAGGATGAATTAAACCAGGTTGCTCCTTAGAGGCAAGGATCCTGAGGCATCTGTGACTTAATTTGGACTTGTTGTAAGGAGGGGCTAGTCCTTGGAGAGGGACATCATGCTTGGAAGCGTAGAGGTACAGCACAGGAGGGGAAGGCCCTCTATGAAGTGCATTGATTCATTGACTGGGACAATTGGGATGGCTGTATCGGAGACAGTTTGATTGGCACAGGATAGAGCAGAGTTTAGGGTTGCTATGCAACAGCACATAACAACAACAACAATCCATGCTATAGTCATTGCAATTCCTTGGTAAACATCAGAAAACTGTATAGTGACTATGGGTGATAAAAACATCATTGATGCCTTTGAGCTATAGTGCTGGAGAAGAATATTGCATATACCATGTACTGCCAGGAGAACAAACAGGTCCATCCTGGAGAGAGGTGAAACCAATCTGCTCCTTGGAGACAAGGATCCTGAAGCTTCGTCTGACATACTTTGGACATGTTGCAAGGAGGGACCAGTACTTGGAGAGGGACATCATGCTTGGGAGAGTAGAGGGACAGCACAAGAGAGGAAGAGCCTCAATGAGATGGATTGATTTAGTGACTGGAGTAATGGAGGTAGGTGTGTAAGAGACAATTAGGTTGGCACAGGATAGAGCAGGTTTCAGGGATATTGTACCTAGGGTCACTATGAGTCACAAGTAACTCTACAGCACATAACAACAAAAACATTTATATTATAAAATAACCCTTGTAGCACAGTGCTTTTTGTGTTGGGCTGCTCACCTTGGCTTTCGGCTTGGCGGAGGCCTAAGTGCGATTTTCATTCAGCATCTAGGTTCATCTTATACCAGCTACCTTTACCATGCCGCCCAAGTTCAACCTTTTCAAATCTGTATGCAGAACAGTTCATCTGGGAGGCTGGGCATGTACCTGAGGTATACTGGTGGAGCAATCAGTGCCATATCCGCTCTGGCCCCCAAGATCGACCCTCTGGTTCTGTCTCCTAAAAAGGCTGGTGGTGACATTCCCAAGGCCATTGGTGACTGGAAGGGACTAAGGATGACAGTGAAACTGATCATTCAGAACAGAGAGGCCCAGATTGAAGTGATGCCTTCTCCCTCTGCCCAGATAATCAAAGGTCTAAAGGAACCACCCAGAGACAGAAAGAAGCAGAAAAATATTAAACACAGTGTCACTATCACTTTTAATGAGATTGTTGGCATTGCCCGGCAGATATGACACCAGTCTTTAGACAGAGAATTCTCTGAAACTATTAGATCCTGGGAACTGCTCAGTCTGTGAGCCGCAGGCTGCAACCCTCATGACATCACAGATTACATCAACACTGGTGCTGTGGAATGCCCAGCTAGCTGAGAACTACAGATGAAAATATTTCAATAAAGGACCATTTGTTAACAAGTAAAGGGAGGAGGGGAAAGAAGGGAGGAAGTAAAGGAAGGAGGGAAGAAAAAAGGGAGGGAGGAAAGGAGGCACGGAGGGAAGGTAGGTAGGTTGGAATCTATCAGCCACTGTGAGTGAGAAATTTGGGCAGTGTCTTCATGTAAAGGCAATGTCTTGAAAATTGCCATAAGTTGGCATCGATTCCACAATAGTGGGTATAGTTTATATGTGTGTATGCTTGTACTATGTTCCTTCCTTTACAAACTGTGATTCAAAAATTTGAAAAAACAAAACTAGTACCTAAATAATAATTTTTTTTTCTTTTTTTATTTTGCTTTGCAGGAAAGGATATGATTTTCAGGGGAAACGGTATGGCAAATTAAAGAAGTATAGTACTGAAAATCCTGAACTTTTTAATGAACCAAAAAGTAAACTATATCTTAAATTAAGTAGAAAGGAAAGTTCTTCTACTTACAGCAAAGGTAAGTTGATCTGGTTGTGTTGGTGACTTAGTCTGACCATAAGTTTCTGTAACATTCAGTTTTGTAAATTGTAGTAAAGAGACTTTGAGAAGTATAATTGGGTGGTAGTATATATTGTAAAATTAATAAAGAACACTAAAGAAGAATTGATGTATTTGAATTATGGTGTTAGCAAAGAGTGACCTGGCAACAAAACAGACGTATTTCTTGGAAAAAACAGAGCCAGAATGCTCCTTAGAAGCAAGGATAGTCAACCTTTATCTTCCTTACTTTGAACATGTTACAAGGAGGGACCAATCCCTGAAGGAAGGAATCATGCCTGGTAAAGTAGAAGGTCAGCAGAAAAGAAGACCTTCAACAAGATGGACTAATACAGTGACTCCAACCATTCAAACCGTTCCATCACCAACTAAATTAGGGTGGAGAAGATGCACCGACCTAGGCCTTGCCCAACTATCCCTAGCCTCCAGGGGTTGGAGAGCCTGCATGGGCCTGGATATTCATGAGGAAGACCATTTCATTGAGAAGCAATTTGAAAGAGACTCCTTCAGTCATGTGATTGTCAGGAGTGTGGCTTGCCCCAGCAAGTGTGTGGGGCCTTCTAAGAAGAACTCTCGAAAGAATTCAATCTAATTGGTACGTGGACACACGCCAAGGGCATGAGCCATTTCTGGTTCCACCATAGCCTGACCAGTGGGGCCTCAGTCATGCTAGGACCCATATTCTCATCCCATGGTAGGATCCCATTCTTCTCATCTTACTCTGGGACCCTGCACTCCCATCCCAGCCCTCAGTCCAACCCTGAGAATTCCCCATCCTGAGTCCATGAGCCAGAACCCAAGTCTCCCACCTCATACTGAGACCTCTTCCATCTAAAACTCAGATCCTTACCCCTACTTCTAAAGGATTAAATGTCTAAGATGGTAATTTTGGGGTCTAAGAAGATAGAAGAATTGATGCCTTTGAGTTGTACTGGAGAAGAGTATTGAACATACTATGGACTGCTAAGAGAACTAACAGATCTGCTCTGGAGAGAGTAAAGACGAGATCTTACTTGGAGTCAATGATTTTGAGGCTCCATCTCACATTATTTGGGCATGTTGCCAGAAGGAACCAGATCTTGGAGAAGGACATCGCAGGAGAAGAAGACCCCAGATGAGATGGATCAATACAGTAACGGATAGGTCTGTCAAAGATAGTGATACAGGCCCAAGATAGAGCAGGGTTCAGAGCTATTGTGCATAGGGTCACTATGAGTCATGGTCTACTCAATGGCATATAAAAACAGCAACAATAGTTCTATGAGAGATTGCCAAAATGCTCTTCACAGTGACTAGCAATTTACAAACCTACATGCAATGGGATAAAAATTCCTTTTTCTCCACAAATTCATGACACCTAGTATTTTCCATCTTTTGAATCTTTGCCATTCTAATGAGGATGTTGTGGTATCTCATTATGATTTTGATTAATGTGTCCTCATTGACTCAGTGATACCTCAATAACAACAATGGCTAAAACTTTGAACATTTTTTCATAATGCTTATTGGGCATTTGAATATCTTCTGTGGTAAAATGTTCGATTCCTTCACCAATCTTTTAATGAGTTATTTGCTAATTGTTTGGGCTTTCGTACTCTCCAGAAATAATATTAAATTAAACATATCAGAAATTCTAATTTAGCTTAAGACTTAGTATCATTTTTTAATTCCTTTTTAAAAATGTTTGTCTTTTCAGATGATCTTTGGGTGGTTTCAAAAACTCTAGACTTTGAACTAGATACTTTTATCGCCCACAGTGCTTTTTTTGGACCATCATCTATGAATGAAGTGGAGCTACTGCCTTTGAAAGGCTATTTCCCTTCTAATTGGCCCACTAACAGTAAGTATTACTGTGCCTGTTTTTATTTATTTAAGTGAAGAATAATAGACATGGGATGTACTGGGAGTCAAGGTACTAATAATTTTATTTCATTTCATATTTAATTGACATTTAATAAATTACTTTAGTTAACTTAATATTTAAGATTATTTGATTAAAATAAAAACAAACCCACCTCCACTACTGTCTGCCTTGGATTCCTGAACTCCTAGCTGACCCTTCAGCAGGTTTTCAGAGGCTGTGAATCACATAGGAGACTGCCCATCTTTCTCCCATGGAGCCTCTAGTGACTGGATTTGAACTTTTTACCTATAGCGTGGTATTGCAACTCTCTACTTTCTAGGCCACCAGAAGTCACCGAAGTTTAACATATAAGCATCTCTGCAATTCAAATCCCAAGGAATAGCAATCTAATGATAGTCTTTGCTTAAAGTTGAACTTTACAAAATATATACTTGATTATTTAAAAAATATTATTTCTATTAATCATATAAGTAAAAGTTCTTACAAATAATTTTTTACTTCCAGTTCTAATTTTTCCTATTTACTTGAGTGTACATTGGATTGCCAACCTGCTGCAGGGTCAGCTACGGGTTGGTTTTGACATGACAGCATATAGCAAAAACAATACTTACTAAATAGTTATTTCTGCAAAATTTTATTGATTTTGTAACAGACTTTACAGAGAGTTGACCAAGGAAGTGAATTTTTACTTTGAGGCTAATTTATCCAATTTCTTGCCAAATTCTTCAGAAGGCAGTAAGCTAACACACTTATTTTTTGTTTTAATAAAGAAATCTTTAATAAGCCAAATGTATGTTCATTTCTATGGATCTGTAGAATTGTTTATGAATTTTGATCTCTGGAATAATTTTTGATGGTTGAATTTGATCCACAACTAGTTAAATGTCTTTCTTGTTGTTTCTATTGTTATATGCCATCAAGTCACCTGCCACTCATACCAGCCTTGCATACAGCAGCTCTGAAGCCTGCCCTGTCCTGAACCAGTCTCACTGACTCTGATACACCTCCCTCTATTACCCCAGTTACTGTGTCAAAATTCTTCTCATCCTACTTCTTCCTCTCCTGCACTGTCCCTTCACCCTTCCGATCATGATGTCCTTCTCCAAGGACTGGTCTCTCCTGGCCTAGGACCCAAAGTATGTGAGACAGAGCTTCAAAACCCTTGCCTTCAAAGGGACACTTGGTTTTGCCCTCTCCAAGACAGACCTCTTTGTTCTCTTGGCAGCTCATGGTATATTTAGGACTGTTCTCCAGTACTATAATTCAAAGGCATCAGTTTTTCTGTCATCTCTACTCACTTTCCACCTCTCCGATGCATAGCAAGCAATTGAGAAAATCAGGGCCTAGATTAAGTGCACCTTAGTTTCTAGACTGAAATCATTGCTTTTCAGTATTCTGCAGAGATCCCTGACAGCAGATTTCCAGAGTGCAATTCGTCTTTTGATTTCTTGACTGCTAAGAGTGTTGCTCCACAGCAAAGCAAGCTGAAATTGTTAACCTCAATCTCTTTTCCATCTATCATGGTGGCCAACTGGCAAGTTGGCCCAATGATGAAAATCTTTGTCTTCTTGATGTGAGCTTCAATCCATATTGAAGACTACAGTCCTTGACTTTCTGCTGCAAATGCTTCAGGTCCTCCTCAATTTCAGAAAGCAGGATTATGTCAGCTGCATAACGTAGTTTGTTGATGATTCTTCCTCCAATCTTGATGCCACATTCCTCTTCATAATGTCCAGCCTCCTGAACGATCTGTTCAGCATATAGATTGAAAACGTATGAAGACAGGATGTATCCCTGATGCATTCCTTTCCTGACTGTGAACCATGCAATGTTTTCTTGCTCTGTACTGAGGACTGCTTCCTTGTCCAAGTGTAGGTTTTGCATGGGCATAATCAGGTGTTTCTGGGATTCCCATTCTTCTCAAAGTTAGTCATGATGTGTTGTAATCTACACAGTCAAATGCCTTTGCATAGTTAATGAAATGGATATCCCTCTGGCACGCTTTACTTTCTACCGAGATCCATCTGACATTGGTGATGATGTCTCTAGTGCCACAGCCTCTTCCAAACTCAGCTTGTATATCTAGTAGTTCTCTGTCACTGTACTCTTCCAGTCGTTTTTGGATAATCTTCAGTAAGATTTGCTTGCATGTGATATTAGTGCTGTTGTTCAATAATGTCCACATTCTGTTGAGTCACCTTTTTTTAGAGTGGGAATAAATACAGATCTCTTCCAGTCCCATCAATTCCTGGTGCCTTGTTTTTTGCCAGTTCCTTCAGAGCAGCTTGAACTTCTTCCTTCATCACCATTTCCTCTTGATCATATATTGTTTCATGAAATTCTTCTCTCTTAGCCAGTTCCTTTTTGGTACAGTGAATCTGTGTACTCCTTCCTTCTTCCTTTAATGCTTCCTGGATCATTCTGTACTCTGCCCAAAGCATCCGTAAGTGTTACAAGTCGAGGCTTGAATTTGAATGAATTTCTTCAGCTTGAGAAATACTGAGTGAGTTCATCCCTTTTGATTTTCTGACTCCAGCTCATTGCACATAATGCTTTGCCTTCCAGTGCTGCCCTTTGAAATATTTTGTTCAACTCCTTAACTTCTTGCTTTCTTCCCTTTGTCTTTAAATAACATATTTCTAGTATTTTATGTAGTTGTTGTTATATACAAGTTATCAAGTTGGAACAGACTCATAGGTGACCATCCAGTGGGTTTTCAGAAATAGTGAATCACATGGGAGGAGACTGCCCATCTTTGTACCAAAGAACAACTAGTGAATTTGAAAATGTATCTTTAGGTTGGCAACACTACTCCTTATTACTGAAATGCCAGAGCTCCCTAGTATTTTATTACCTTTTTAAGAAACCTTTTGATCTTTCTTACCTAAATAATCCTAGTCCAGTAATGTTACATTGAGTGAACATGCCACATTTTTTATGAATATTGCCATATGTGTCTAAATTATTTCCTCAAGAATATTTTCATTCTCATGTTCTGTTCTCTCAGTTCTTCTGTAAAATAATAGAGGTAGAAAAGAAAGATAATCTTCAAAAAAATAAACAAGTACTGTTATATAATCCAGGATGGGGTGCTGATTAAATTGGTCTCAAGCAGTGCCACCATACACATATGTTGTTGTTGTGTTGTTATGTGCTGTTGAGTCATTTGCAACTCATAGCGACCCTATGTACAACAGCCCTAAACCCTGCTCTATCCTGTGCCAATCACATTGCCTCTGACACATCCATCCCGATTACCCCAGTCACTGAATCAATCCATCTCATAGACTGTCTTCCCCCTTGCGCCGTCCAAAAGCAAATTTTTTTCTTTATTTAAAAATATTTTTGTTATTATGGAGACTATTTACAGCAAAATATGCACCAACTCAACAATGTCTGTATGTACTATTTAGTGATATGAGTATGTTCTTCAAGTTGCATAACCATTCTCATCCTTCTTTAAAACTATTGTTCTTGTGCTGATGTTTGAAGTTCCAGTTTAAGTTATTATATAATTCATGGATGTCATCATATAAAATATGAGTGAGCAAATAGTATAGTACTTCAATACAAGAAAGTATGGGGACTTCACATGTATTTAATAATGTTGTTGTTGCTGTTGTTGCTGTTGTTGTTATGTGCTATCAAGTTGCTTGTGACTCATAGCAACCCTATGTACAACAGCCCTAAATCCTGCTCTGTCCTTTGCCAGTTGCACAGCCTCTGACACACCCATCCCGATTACCCCAGTCACTGAATCAGTCCACTTCATAGAGGGCCTTCCCCTCTTGCACAGTCCCTCCACCCTCCCAAGCATGATGTCCCTCTCCAAGGACCTGTCCCTCCTTACAATATGTCCAAACTATGTCAGATGAAGCCCCAGAATCCTTGCCTCCGAGGAGGATCATCCTGGTTTAACCCTCTGCAGGATGAATCTGTTTGTTTTCTTGTCAGTCCATGGTACCCTCAATACTCTTCTCCAGCACCACAGTTCAAAGGCATCAATTCTCCTTCTATCCTCCCTAGTCATTGTCCAACTCTCTGATGCATAACAAGTGATTGCAAAGACCATGGCCTGTATCAGATGCATCTTAGTCTCCAGAGTGACACCATCGCTCTTCAGTACTCTGGAGAGGTCCCTAACAGCAGACTTTCCCATCACAATATGTCTTTTCATTTCCTGGCTACTGGTGCCAAGAGTGTTGACTGTGGAGCCAAGCAAACTAAAGTTGTTTAACAATCTCAATCTCTTCACCATCCATCCTGATGCTGCCAATTCATGTCTTAAAAAAAAGGGGCTTATTTTATGTCATGTGATTATAAGTTATACTGATAATACAGAGATTTTGTTTAAATGGTTCATTTTTTAATTTACATTAAGCATTTACTTTCTGTATTCTTTCAACAGCAGTGGTCCATGCACTATTGGTTTGTAATGCTAGCACAGAGCTGACTACTTTAAAAAATATTCAAAATTACTTTAATCCATCTACTCTACCTCTAACACAGCACCTGTTAACAATGTAAGTCAATACTTGATTTTGGGTTGTTGATAATCAAAGTGGTGACAAAATGTGAATGTAACAGTACATTACATTAATGTTAATGATAAAATTTTACCTTTTTTAAAAAAGATTTTGATTGCTGGCAATAAAAAGAAAATATCAAGTAAAGCAAGTACTATTTCTCTTCTTTTTTACTGTCTAGTTAACTATTGTTTAGTTTAGTAAATATTACTGTGAAGTTTTTCATTTTGTCCAGGGATAATTTCTTCAGGATCTTTTGACTTGCATCTTTTTTCTCATGTATTTATATTCATTGTCACTGAGTTGATTCTTACAGCATCTCTGTTAGACCAGAGTAAAACATTACCTTGGACCCCTAGTGGGTGGTAAGTACTCAGCTGCTAACCAAGTTAGTGGTATGAACCTACAAGCTGATCCATAGGAGAAAGATATGTAGCACTCTGTTCCTATAAAGATTCACAATCTTAGAAACACTATGGAATCTTTCTACGCTGTCCTTTAGGATTGCTGAGTCAGAATCTACTTTATAGCATTGGTATGTTTTATTTTTATACTGCAAATATTTAACATTTTACAACCTGAATCCATTGTGTATAAAAAAATACTAACTTTAATGAAACCTGTGTTTGGAAGCTCTGGTGGCCTTAGTGGTAAGGAGTTGTGCTTCCAACCCAGAGACATGCAGTTTGAATCCACCAGCTGCTCCCTGAAAGAAATGTGGGCAGTTTCTCCCTGTGCAATTTATTGTGGTGGTGGTTGTGTGCCATCGAGTCAGCACCGACCCATAGCTGACTTTCCAGAACGTTTTCAGAGCCAGTTAACCTCTCCGGAGCAGATTGCCTATTCTTTTCCCGTGGAGCTGCTGGTGGATTTGAACTGTGTGCCTTCAGGATTACAGCACAGCTTCTTACCACTAAGCCACCAGAGCTCTTAGACTCTGAGAGTCAGTTTCAACTGAACTGCAAACAATAACATGCTCAAGAAGGGCCAGTCCTTGGAAAAAGATATCATGCTGGGAAAGGTTGAGGATTAGTGTAAAAAGAAGGGTGGTGTGGGGGCAGCCATATCTGACCTTTCAGCTCCACAAAGTGGAACTGCCCCCGCAAACTACATCCACAACACAAAACCAATTCCCAGGCGATTAGACTTGTTTCCTCGTACTCGCACCTATCTCTACTAATTCCAACATCAATTCTGCTTTTCTACTTGGTCTGCAATCAGTTGTAATAGCTCACAGAGTACCATACTTGAGATTATGGAGTTTTTCAAGGGAAGTTAACTAGATACAGATTCTCAGTTAGGACGGCTTCTGAAGCATGCTCACAGGCAGTTCAGCCTTCAACCTTGTGACTTTCGGCCAGTGCTGCTAAGTTCTCTTAGTACTGCCAATATGGAATCTTCCTCCAAAATCTTCAGCAAGTTTGGGCAAAGGTTTCTGGTCTGGTTCTGTAGGGCAGCAGTCCCAGGTCTGCTCTGTCTCATGTCAGATCTCTGGTTCTCACTGTGTCTGCTGCTGCTTTCCTGTAGGTATGGCGAGTCTATAAGACAAGGAGCTCGAGTCTATAAGAGCACACACTATATTCTCTGGCTTCTTTGCTAGTGGTGAGATTCTCCAATTCTGCTGCTGGATCCACTCAATGTTGAAACTAGGCAATCCTATAGTGCATCAAGAATGCACCCTTTCTCCATACCTTTTCAATCTGTATGCAGCACAGAACAATCAAGACTCTGGGTTTAATGAGAAGGTATGTGGCATCAGAATTGGAAGACGACTCAACAACAACCTGCAATAAGCAGATGACACAACCTTGCTTGCAGAAACTGAGGAGAACCTGAAGCACTTGCTGCAGAAAGGACTGAAGTCTACAATATGGGTTGAAGATCAACATCAAGAAAACAGAGATTCTCATCATTGGATCAATTAGCAGCACCATGATAGAGAAGAGATTGAGATTGTTAACAATTTGGTTCCACAATTGAACACTCTTGGCTCCAGCAGTCAGAAAATAAAAAGATGAATTGCACTTGGGAAGTCTGCTGTCAGGGACCTCTCCAGAGTAATTAAGAGCAATACTGACTGTGGTCTTCAGAGAGCTGGACAGTGAATAACGATGACCTAAGAATCAATGCCTCTGAATTCTGGTGCTGAAGAAGAGGACTGAACAACTATTGCCAAGAGAACAAACATTTCTGTCCTGTAAGAGAGTGAAACCAGGTTGATTTTGAAGTATGATACTTTAGGTGTATGGCCAGGAGGGACCAGTCATTGAAGAACAGGTTTGGAAATGTGGAAGGACAGTACAAGGGAGGAAGACCCAAGATGAGAAGAATTGGCACAGTCATTGATGTATTGAAGGTAAGTGTGTTAGATACAGTGAGACTGGCTCCAGACAGGGTAGGGTTTAGAACTGTTGTGCATAGGGTCACTAGTCACAGTTAACTGGATGACAAATAGCAACAACAACAACCCTATTCGCATGTCCCTGCCCAAATATTTGGCAAAGTCAATCAGTGGGTGAGAAAACTATTTTGAACCAGAAACCTTTAACATCATAGTCAATAAAAGAGATGAAGACCTTTAACAAGAAGAATTGATGCAGTGACTGGAACAATGGACTTGAATTATGTCTGAGACCCTTGCAGGATAGGACAAAGTTCAGAACTGTTGTTCTTAGGGTCACTGAGTTATAGTCTACTCAGTGGCCCATAAGCACAATAACAATGTGTTTCATTTTCAATGTTTTGAGAAAAATTATATTGTTTAGAAATATATATTTTTATATTAAATGCATTAAAATGATAGAGTATGTTTTCTAATTTAGAATATTATTATGTTTCCTAAGTTAGAATATTATTACCTATCTTGTTTCATTTTTCCTCCTTTAATGAAGAACTGTCATATATTTATGATTCCGTTAACTTACTTATTCACTTTAGAATAAATTGTGGAAATACAAGTAAAACCAATGTATTTAATGTAGTTTTACCTACATTGGCGTATTGTTGTTATGTATCATCAAGTCAGAACTGCCTCATAGCTCACACTCCAACAGGTTGTCAGAGGTAGTAAATCATACAGGAGGAGATTACTAGTGGATTCAAGCCACTGTGGCTTTGGGTTAGTAATCACCAGAGTTCCCTTTTACCTACGTTAATAGAAACTATATTTATTATCTAAATCATCTTTGTATAATAGAATGTGGGCTTATAGTCAGTTCACTACTTACTAGTATTATTATTTCTCCTATGCCTATCAGGACGACACCACTAATATATCTGTGCTTATATGTGGGATAATTGACTACAGCATAGTGGTGTTATAAAGGTGACACCAAAGCGTAGAAAATACTTAACAGGTTCATCCTAAAGAGAGTGAAACTAGGCTGCTCCTTGGAGGCAAGGATTCTGAGGCTTCACCTGACTTACTGTCCTTGGAGAGGGACATCATGCTTGGAAGGGTGGAGGGACAGAAAAGGAGAGGAAGACCATCAATGAGATGGATTGAATCGGTGACTGGGGTAATGAGGGTAAGTGTGTCAGAGACAGTAAAGTTGGCACAGGATAGAGCAGGTTTCAGGGCTGTTGTACATAGGGTCGCTATGAGTCGCAAGTGACTCTATGGCACATAACAACAACAACAACAGTGCCAGCATGTAAGTAGTCCATGCTGTTAGCGCTAACCTCACACACTGTCTTCCAGATTCTGGTAAGTAAAAAAAAATATTCTATGGAGGGTTATAAAACAAAGTCTAAGCTGTGAGTTGTTGTTATTGTTAATTACCTTCAACTTGAACACGACTCATAGCGCCACTATGAACAAAAGGCCTGAAGCCCTTCTATAACTATGAACATTTATCTAAGTTCATAGAGTTTCCGGAGGCGTGCTATTTAGGAAATGGATGCCACTTGTAGGTTAATTAATCTATTTCAAAAACTCTTCCTTTTTCTTTGACTGGCTTTGTTTTGGTTTGGTTTTTTTACCACCTTTCCCTTAGGTCTTCACCAACTGCTGTCAGCAATAAGAGAGTCAATAAGAAATTTATCCCACCAGCCTTTAAAAATTCCAGCACAAAATTTGAAATAAGCCAAGAAACAGCATTGCATTTAGCGAGTGAGTTGATCGAGGTATACAAGTTAAACCAGGATCAAGCTTCAGCTCTAATTCAAATAGCTCAGATGATGGTATCACATGAAAGTACTGAAGTGGAGGAATTGAGGACTTGTGCCCTCCCCATCACAATCATACATGGTAAGATGCAAGAAAGAAACGGTTCTAATAAAATTTAACGTAAGTTTTACTTCTTTGTGCTTTGTAATTTCCTAGTTAAGCATCCCAAATATCTCCAAGTAGTCTTTTTGAACCTGAACCTATTTTAATAAACTATTTCCTTAGATGAAGTCACATCAGATATCCTGAGGGGGAGAGTTGGCAACACATCTGATGAATGAGTAACATAATACACAAAGTGTCCACACTTGTTCTAAATGTCTATGCATTATAGATCTACTCATTAGAACAAATGTCAGCTCGGATCAGCACAGTTTTTTATTTTTATTCTTCGTTAACTCATTCCTCAATCCTTCAAAGAAACTATTCCTAACTTCTCACGTCACCATCTTTGCTCCATCCCCCTGTTGCTGAAATTGATTTTGCCTCTAAAACAGGAATTGGAATTCATAATAAAAACATAATCCAGTGTTCTTACCTAAGTTTAGACCTGTAACATCCTTCATTTCTGTCCCAATGCAAGATATGTGTTTCCTCTCATTTAGAGCTAATACCTCTATTTAGATTCTGTCACATTTTTCTCTCTACTTATATTTCTCCTTTCTTCATTTTTCTTAATATTTAAGTATACATACTCTCCCAACAAATATACATACTCTCCCAACTTAAAAAAGCACAACACAAATTAATAACAAATCTATCTTACTTTTCTTGCCCTTAAAGACAAAGCTTATTAAAAAAGTTGTTCAGAAATGACAGTCTCTGGGGTTGATTATTTATTTTTGCCTTCTGTCTGTTTCCAGCCTGTAAACTGTGTAGGATTACTTCAAATTACTAAAACTACTTTTACTAAAGTTCTCACTAATCTCAAATTTTTAAACTGCTTTATGTCACTTGATCCTTTTTTGTTGACTATTCCCATTTGAAATTCTACTTTTCCATAAGATGCATGAGAGAAAGTGGTTCTATCCTAGTTATTACTGATTTTCAAGCTACTTCATCATTTCTTCTTACTTATTAAATGTTAATCTTCTTTCTCATGCAGTTCCTCATTAGGCCCTCTTATTCTAAACAAGCTCAGTAAGATAGTTTCATCCATATTCAGAACTCCATCTAATCTCATTGTATCCCATGACAAAGCCCACATCAAATCTCAAGACCAGATTTTCTCCAGAATCCAAATCGAGTACCTATCACAACTCTTAAACAACTCAAGTTTGAACTGTGTGTGTCTACTTATGCACACACTGTTTTACAAAATATCTTGTGATATCAGTTATCTCTGCATGAGCTGTTTTGTCTCTCCAGTAAATTGTGTGTCACAGTAAAAAGTGATCTCCTTTTGGGGGGGGGGTATAGTTTTTAATTTTTTTTAATTAATTTTAATGAAAATTTGGAGACTTTGGCTTTCCATTCATTCATTGTTGCACTATTCTCCCTGCCCACCCCTTCCCCCCAGTACACTCCTTTCTTTGAAAAGTAAAAGAAAAATTCTTTCATTGTTTTACAGTCCCTACCTCTAGGTCCACTCAACTAATGCAGCCTCCGTTCTGGACTCCAGTCATGACAATAATACCCAATAACATATCCCTTTTAAATAGTTCTCTCTCTCATCTGCTTCAAAGCAGTATACATTATTTATCCCATCTCTCTTAGTCTCCCTGCAACCCAAATGTCAGTCCTGTTTTACAACAGTGGCACTGTGCAGTATTTGTCCTTTTGTGACTGAGATATTTCACTCAGCATAATGTTCTCCAGGGTCACCAACTTTGAATAATATTGCATGAATTCCTTGTTTTTCAAAGCAGCATAGTATTCCATTGTGTGAATATACCACAACTTCTCTATCCATTCATTTGTTGATGGGCACATAGGTTGTATCCAATTCCTTGCTATTGTGAGCAAAGCTGCGATTAACATGGTTGTGCATATATCTGCTTGGGTGGCACTTTATGGTCTCTTTGGGGTATATTCCCAGTAGTGGAATTGCTGAGTCAAATGATATCTCTATTTGCAACTTTTTGAGAAAGCTCCATACCACCTTCCACAGTGGTTGCACCATTTTACACTTCCACCAACAGTAAATAAGGGTTCTAGTTTCTCCACAACCTCACCAGCATTTGTTGCTTGCTATTCTGTTAAATTTTGCTATTCTTACTGGGGTGAGATGATATGTCATAGTTGTTTTGATTTGTATCTCTCTTAGAGATAGAGATTTTTTACCATTTCTTCATGTGCTTGTTAGCCATCTGAATGTCTTCTTTGGTGAAGTGTCTGTTCATATCCTGTGCCCATTTTTCAATTGAATTGTTTACCTTTATTTTGCTGTGGTGAAAAAGTGATCTCTTGACGTTCTCTCATATTTTCCATTGTATATAGTGCAGTGCCAGAAACCTTAAGTGAAGGTGTAGGACCCATACAAAATGCAACTAGTCAAGATGCTACAAGCCAAGTGAAGTAAAAAGGCTTGATATAACAAGAGAAGTTGAATTGTTTGATATGTACCACAGATTGAGATCCATAGCTGTGGTTGCCCTGGCAGTTCAAGACAAATGAATCCAGAATAAGGGCCGTTGTAAAAGGAAGTTCATGGTCTCCTGTCAGTGCAGTGTAATACCTTTTTTATCTCATTTTGAAATACAGTTTTAAAATGAATGAAGTATTTAATACACATAATATACAAAATATGTGTTAATTTATTGTTTACATTATCACTGTTGTTTCAGGTCAGTGGTGGTTAAGTATTTGGAGTGTCAAAATTTATCATGGATTTTCAGTTCAGAACTGACCCAGTTCAAGGGTCAACTGTATATCTAAATTTACCCTAATAGATCCATCAGAATGTATCGAGTAGTTTAAATTCAAATCTCCTCTTGCTCCATTGACTCCCACAGACGTCCATCCCCAAGCTGATCCTGTGTCATGCCTTATTTTGAGGGATTACATCACACCCTGTACACAAAGCTGGACACCTCAGAGTCAACATAGATTTTCTTTCTCTCAAAAATAAGTTATTTTCTCTTAAACCTTTAACTTTTTTACTACTATCAGATCAGTCACTGAAATGTTCTCCTTCTAGTGTCTACCCATCTTTCTTATTAGTATCTCCAGTTAACTTGAACTACAGTCTAAGTCTTCAGGCAGTCTAATGAGTAAACATGTGGGCTCCAGATCTAGAATCCTGGTTTTATGTCCTTGCTCTATTGTTTATTAGCTCTATAATCATGGACAACTGCAGTGGTAGTCCAGCAGTGGAATTCTTGTCCTTCTATGCAGGAGACATGGGTTAGGTTCCTGGCTAATGCACTGTAAGCACAACCACCATCCATCTGTCAGCGGAGGCTACAGCAGCACATCCAGGGTAGAATCAACTGGGAAGATGGCCTAGTAATAATCTATCTGAAAAATCAGCAGGGAAAATTGTGGATTACAGCAGTTTGATTGTATTGTGCATGGGATTGCCAGGAGTCAAGATGACTTAATGTCAGCTAATGATTATCTTGGGACAAATTCCCTACCTTTTGGTTTTCAGTTCTGTAAAATGGGTGGAAGATTAAATGAATTAATATATTTAAAACCTTTAGACCAATGCCTAGTACATGGATAGCATTTAGTAGATGTTAGCATATATTTCGTGGTGATTATCTCACACAATTGACAATCTGTTTCCCTCTAATTTTTCCCTTTTCCACATTATCATTCATGTGTACCTTTTCTAAAATGTAGGACAATCGCTTCAGTTCCCTTACTTGAAATCCTTCGTTGACTTCACTTGAATTTAAGAAGATTCAGACATATTAGCCGTAGCAAAGCAGAGCTTTTATGGCTTATTCTCTATTTCATCAATATACATCTTTCCCATTTTCTGTTTGACCTGTGTACAGCCATATGCTTTCATGCCTCTGCCTGGAATACCAATTTCTTTATAAACAGTTTGGGCAACTTACTCTTTAAACCTTAGTCTTGCCGTTTCTTATTTTGTTGCTGTTGCTTGACTTACCTGTATCCTTTGGTAGCCAATGACCTGATTTAAAAATGGGGATCTTTGGTTATTTATCTCTTTATCCCCTGTGTTTAGCACATAGTAGGCTCAGTGATTTTTTTTTAAAATAAATGAAGGAAGTAGAAAGATAGGTGGATACAATATTCCTTATGCTTCTAGGAGTTTATTTATAGTATTTATTCTTTCTTCCTTTAAAATAATTAGGTGTTTTTGGAGCAGGGAAGAGTTATTTGCTGGCAGTGGTAATTTTGTTCTTTGTTCAGCTATTTGAAATGAGTGAAGCTCCTCCAGTTGGAAATGTAAGACAATGGAAACTTCTGATTTCATCTTCCACCAATGTAGCTGTTGATAGAGTACTTCTTGGGTAAGTGTAATAGATATGTTTGAAGAGCTAATCCTTTTCAGGTTATTGACAAAAGAAGTCATTCATCATGAGTTCCATATACCCATGCACATTCTTACTGAGTATGCTTGCTAAAAATGAAGACTTGGAGCACTTACTGAAGATAAAAGATTACCGCCTTCAATATGGATTGCATCTCAACATCAAGAAAATAAAAATCAAAAAAATTTTAAAAAGTAAACAAAAATCCTTACCACAGGACCAATAGGCAACCTCATGGTAGAGGGAGAAAAGATTGAAGTTGTCAAGGGTTTCATGTTACTTACATGCACAGTCAACACCCGTGGGAGCAAGAAATCAAAAGTAAATATGCTGTCAAGGGCAACTTTAAAGTGTTCGGGAGCAAGAATGTCAGTTTAAAAACTAAGGTACACCCGATTCATGCCATGGTATTTTCAGTTACTTCGTATGCATCTGAAAGTTGGATAATGATTAAGGAATCATTAAGGATTCCTAAGAGGATTCAATGCCTTTGAATTGTGGTGCCAGTGAAGAGGACTGAACAGGATATTCACTAAAGATTTGAATATAGCTACATGCATATAGAGCCCAGAGCTATATTATTAGTGGAACCAATTTATCATGGGCCTTCAGCATCCCTAGTGAGATGATACAAATACAAATTCTGACTCTTCTTTAGTTGTGACATTTCTCAGTTGTGTTTATAGTACACAACTTTGAATAATGAAGTAATGTTCCTTCAGGACAAAGAGTAAGTTATAGTTCCTTTAAACTATAAAGAAACACTTTAAATTCCCGTTTTAAGATGGTATAAGATGCTTTAGATAACTAGGTAGTTATTAAATGCTATTTCTAGAGTAAGACATGTCAGAAGAAAGAGTAGATGAGGATTTCTTCTGTGTCCAGAGCCTTAGTAGAGCAGTGAGGGTGGGTAATGAAGAATAGTCATGGCCTTTAAAGGTAGAAACACTTGCCTGAGTTTGACTCTTCTCCTTCACCTATTGAGCTACATACATGACCTCGACAACTCTCCCTCACCTCTACATTTCAGTGCCTTCATTTCTAGAAAGATATCTCACAGAGATGTTTTAAGTCTAGTAAGATTAGTTTCTGTAAGGAGCCTAACACTCCTAAAAAGTCTTGGTACTAAATATATGGTAGTAGTTGTGATTTCAGTGAGTGAAAACCAACTTGCTAACAACTTGTAGTATAAATAATAAACATCCTCACCTGCTAACCAATGGTTCAAAGTTTAATTCTATCCATAGATGCTTCTCAAGAAACACCTGGTGGTCTGCATCCTAAACATTAGGCATTGAATAACCTTTGGAGCATAATACCGCTGCACACGTGAATTATCCCTTAGTCAGTATTTATAGCCACTGATTTTGTTGCTTTTGATACTGTTCTCTCTATGGGGATAACCTTACGGGTGATAAATGGTAACATTACTATTTTATGAACGATTTATGGACCTTCACCATAAGTACCTTTGAGTCAGAACTGACTCATAGCTGACCCTTTCAGAGGCAGCAAATTGCCCAGGAGGAGCTTGTCCATCTTCTCCCCCTCTTACCTCCCCCATCCCCACTGGGGAGCAACTCATGGACTCAGCTTGCCTTCACATTAGCAACGTAACTCCTTACCACTAAGCCACCAGTGTTCCCTAACATAATGGTGGTGGTGGTGTGTGGCATCAAGTCGGAACATACCCTCTAGCGGGCTTTCAGAAGCAGTAATTGCACAGGTGTTGGTACCGTAGAGTCAGAACTGACCTATAGCAGACCTTTTGTCAGGTTTTCAGAGGTGTCCATCCTTCTCGCACAGTTGCAAAGGAGGAAATTGTTATTTTCTCTTAAAAAAATGCACTAGATAAACACCTCCAGATAAATGACATTAATTGTACTTGAGTATAAACATTTCATGTTGAATTATGCCAGTTTAAAATTTAAGGTGTGTCTGACTGCAACGGTGGGATTTCTAATTGCTTCAGTATGTGTGTGAAGACTGAACAATGGGTGAGGAAGACCAAAGAAGAATTAATGCCTTTAAATTTTGTTGGTGAAGGATATTGGATAGTATCATGGACTGCCCAAAGAACAAACACATCTGTCTTGGAGGAAGTGTAACGAGGGTGTTCACTGGAGGCAAGGATGGTGAAACTTCATCTTGCATACTTTGAGTATATTGTCAGTAGGCTCCAGTCTTTAAAGAGGGACATGATACTTGGTGGAGTGGAGGGTCAGCGAAAGAGAATCTCAATGAGCTAAGCTGGCACAGTGATGGAAATAATTGGCTTGACCATGGTAGAGATTTTGTAGATGGAAGAAAGGAGAAGGTTTTGGTCTGTTCTTGCTTGGGTCACAGTGAGTCAAAGTCAATACAGTGGCATCTACCAACAGCAACAATAAAATAGTCTGTTATGGGGAATTAAGATAAATATTATATTATACTTTATATTCTATTTTCTAAGTAATCAAAATTTCCTTTTTTTTTTTAAGGCTTCTTAGTCTCGGATTTGAAAAGTTTGTCAGAGTTGGGAGTGTTAGGAAGATTGCCAAGCCAATTTTACCTTATAGGTAAGAATGACAACAATGAATGAATGAAAACCCAAAATCTCTGTAAATGTTCCTTAAAACTAATAAAATTTAATAATAATTTAAACAAAAAAAACCCAACATATGATTATATAAAACAAACTACATGAATGAAACATGAAGTATAAGAATGATTGCATAAAACAAAGTACACATATAAAATATGATATATGTGAATATGCAAATGAATAAATTTTTTTTAAAAAAGAAAAAAAACCTGACCTTTGGTTCTTGAATAAAAAAGTAGATAACTTTTTCTCAGTTGAGTTAGTACAACAACAACAAAAATCACATTTTTTTTTTACATTACAAAAATAGAATACAGAATGTTTTTCTTTCATGAAACTTTTTTAGCTTACATGCTGGCTCGGAGAATGAAAATGAGCAATTAAAAGAACTACATGCATTAATGAAAGAAGACTTAACTCCTATGGAAAGAGTTTATGTGAGAAAAAGTATTGAACAGCATAAACTAGGAACCAACAAAGCTCTCCTGAAGCAGGTATATAACAGCTTTAATTTATTTCTTAAATTATATACACTTTTCAAATTTTCTTTATTCTTACTGAGGGAAGAGTATTCCCCTTGTTGTTGATGTTGTTGTTATGTGCCATAGAGTTGTTTGCGACTCATAACGACCCTATGCATAATAGCTCTGAACCTTGCTCTATCCTGAGCCAATCTCTGACATGCCTACCCTCATTACCCTTGTTACTGTGTCAACTTATTGTGTCAGCTTATCCCCTTAAATATTGATAGCTTAGGGCCAACAAATTTTGTGTGTGTGTGTGTGTGTGTGTGTTTGATTATAGGCCATTTAGACATTGTATGTTTGTTAAAAAATGTTCTTCATTTTTGTGAACAGTTCCACTTCACTGTGACTACTCAGCTTTTTTCTCTTCTTTTTTGCATATTTATTGTATATACTCAAAGAGGATGATAAGATAGAATCTGACTCTAGGCAGAATTTCTGAGTGTAAGTTGTCTTTGATAGCTTTGGAGAAATCAGAGCTTCTCACAGCCTTCCCATATCCAAGCATCCTGGAAGATTAGACACAATTTCTCTCATATATTGGGAGCAAGATTGGACATTATGACATTATCATTCATTAAATTTTGCTTTCCAGCCTGGACATCAGCTAGTTGTTGTTCAGTTCCGTAAGTTAAATATGACTCGTAGCAACCATAGGAACAACAGATCTGAACTCTGACCTATCATGGGCCATCCTTATCATCTCTGACATACTTGAGCCCATGTCAATCCATACTGTTGGGAGTCTTACTCCCTTTTTGTTGACCTTCCATTTATCCAAGCGTGATGTCCCTTTCCAAGGAATAGCCTCTCCTAACATCATGCTCAAAGTATATGAAACAAAGTTTGGCCATACTTGCCTCTAAGGAGCACTCTAGCTACACTTTTTCCAAGACATATCTATTTGTTCTTTTGATAGTCTATGTGATATTCAGTACTCTTCACCAAAAGCACAATTACAAAGAATCAGTTCTTTGGTCATCCTTATTAATTGTCCAACTTTCATAGGTGTTGTTGATGTTGTTGTTATGTGCCATCAAGTTGCTTGCGATTCATAGAGACCCTAAGTACAACAGCCCTAAACTGCACTCTATCCTGTGCCAACCTCACTGTCTCTGACACACCTACTCCCATTACCCCAGTCATGGAATCGATCCATCTCATCGAGGGTCTTCCTCTCTTGTGCTGTCCCTCTCTCCTCCCAAACGTGATGTCCCTCCCAAGGAGTGGTTCCTCCTTGCAACATGCCCAGAGTATGTCAGAGGAAACTTCAGAATCCTTGCCTCCAAGGAGCAGCCTGGTTTCACCCTCTCCAGGACAAATCTGTTTGTTCTCCTAGCAGTCCATGGTATATGCAACACTCTTATCCAGCACAACAGCTCAAAGGCATCAATTCTCCTTCTATCACCTCTATTCATTGTCCAGCTCTCTGATGTATAGCATGCAATTGCAAAGACTATGACCTGGATCAGGTGCACCTTAGTCTCTAGCTTGACATCATTGCTCTTCAGTACTCTGGAGAGGTCCGTGACATCTGACTTTCCCAATGTTGGTACCAAGAGTGTTGATTGTGGAGCCAAGCAAACTAAAACTGTTAATAAATCAATCTCTTCATCATCCATAATGATGCTTCCAGTTGGCCTAGTGGTCAGAATCTTTGTTTTCTTGATATTGAGCCTCAATCCATTTTGAAGGTTGCAGTCCTTGACCTTCTGCAGCAAGCACTTCAGGTCCTCCTCAGTTTCAGTAAGCATGATTGTGTCATCTGCATAATGCAGTTTGTTGATGAATCTTTTTCCAATCCTGATGCCACATTCCTCCTCGTACAGCCCAGCTTCCTGGATTATTTGTTCTGCATACAGATTGAAAAGGTATGGAGACAGAATACATCCCTGGTGGACACCCTTCCCGATTTTGAACCATGCAGTGTCTCCTTCCTCCGTTCTGATGACTGCCTCTTGGTCCAAGTATAGGTTTTGCATAAGCAAATCAAATATTCTGGGATTCCCATTCTTCTCAGAGTCAGCCATAGTTTGTTGTGATCCACACAGTCAAAAGCCTTTGCATAATCAATGAAACACAGATAGACATTCTTCTGGTATTCTCTGCTTTCTGCCAAGATCCAGCTAACATTAGCTTTAATATCCTTTGTACTATGGCCTCTTCTAAACTCAGTCTGCACATCTGGTAGTTCTCTGTTGACGTGTTGCTCCAGTCATTTTTGGAAAATTTTCAGCAGAATCTTGATTGCATGTGATATTAATGATACTGTTCGATAATTTTCGCACTCTGTCATGTCACCTTTCTTTGGAATGGGAACAGATATCCATCATCCATCTCTTCCAGTCAGGTGGCCAGGTGGCTGTCCTCCAGATTTCCGCTATCATTCAAAGGCATATGAAACAATTAAAAATATCACAGCTTGGGTCTTATGTGCCTTAATCTTTAAAGTGACAGTCTTGCACTTTATACATGTCTCTGATAAGATTTTATGCAGTGCAATACATTGAATTTTTTCTATTTATTCACATTTTTAAGATTTCCAGTGCTAGTTCTCTTCATTTGTTTGGTAAACTTTAGCTTCCTTCTGATACTCTTTTCACATGAAGAGCTTTCTTTAATATTTGCTCTGAAGAAGCTGCACTGCAAACTTAGAGACAGAAGGATGGGCAACCTCCTTCTGTGCATTTTACTGTCTCAGCCCACTGGAGGGCCAGCACCAAACTACAGTAGTCAAGTCTTATAGCACAATCCTCTTCAGATTTTGTTTGAAAATGTTTTTAATATTTGTGATCATTTTATTTTGTCTTGGAAGATTTTGTTTTAGAGAAAGACTTCTAAGTTGACAGTTAAATTTTTTTTACTTCTCTTTTGAAATTGATTGTGGATCCAAATGAAATTAAATCCTTAACAACTTCGGTCTTTTCTCCATTTAACATAATATATCCTAATGGTCTAGCTGTGAGAATTTTTGTTTTCCAGTGCTGGTGTTTCATAGTTTGCGCTGTTGATCTGCAGGCCTCTAATCTCTGGTTTGAATTCATCCGCAGCTCTGAAGGAAAGAGAACGTTGGGAAGCTTCTTGCCCTTAGGATTTATAGTGTCTGAAAGGTCCTTTATCAGTCAGAGTTGACTTCTTTGCAGTGTATAATAATAAATATTAAAAATATGTATCATCTTTAAAAGAAAAATAAACTTTTGTATTGACTATTCCTCTAACCAAAAAAACAAAACAAAACACTAGTTCCTCATTCCTAACTCTAGAGTTCTCATTCTGAGTTTCTGTAAGATATAATTACTAGAAAGAGATGATATTTCAGAGTGGTACCAGGAGGAGTACATAATGTTTCAGCAGTAAAAAATATCCACTGCTGGATCATTTTTTAAGAACTCTGTTTAAAACTACAGAAGTTTTATTGTAAATATGGCCTCAGGATTTTTGTGTTTAACTGAAAAAGGAAAAGTGAACTGATAGAGGGCTGTAGTGTGTGATCAATGTTATTATTTTATAAGAAACTTTTTTTTTTATTTCACAGGATATTTGGAGGTAATATCTGTTAAGTGTATTTTGCTAATCCCGTTGTTGAGAAAGCTGTGGTCACTCTTTATGCTGTTCAGTTGTATACAAGAGTTAGAACCGACCCATAGCTGACCCTCCAACAGGTTTTTAGAGGAAGTTAATCCCAGTGAGAGGGATTAACACAGTGACTGCAAAAGTGGGTGCAAGTGGTCATAGATGATGAGGACGGCACAGGATAAGAAGACTTGGTTTAGTCTATTGTTCATAGGGTCGCTATGAGTTGTATTCACCTCAAGAGCACCTAACAACAACTATCTAGATATCTATGTTTATCTACTGTTCTTGTTGTCTATATATGTAGATATCTACCAGTTATCTATATATACATGGTGGCCTAGTGGTAAGTGGCTGTGGTGCAGTCCTGAAGGCATGTAGTTCTAATCCACCAGCTGCTTCCCAGCAGAAGGATGGACAATCTCTCCTCTGCAATTAACTGCCTCTGAAAACCTGCTGGAGGGTTCTAACTCCATGGTACTCAGCAACAAGAAGTACTAACTAGGCTAATGATGACATCCAATTTGAAAATTATTAGGTTATCCTATTGTTTATATCTAATTCCAGGGATTAAATAAATATTACATTTTATCACATATTTTGCCTTGAGAATAATGACTTTCTGTTTTAACACTCGAAAATATTGAAATGTAAATGTTCTTGTAAACTGTAAGTATACTTTAATTTAGTCAGCTTCGTCTGGATAGATAAAATGTAAATGCCATAGTTTTTTACTCCTTTATGTTATGTTTCACTTCTAATTAATTATTATTACTTTAGTGGATTATGGTTTATGTATACTTTTGTTATTTTTATCTTATAGGTAGAAATAATAAAAATGTGGACAGTAAGTGACCTATAATTTATGACTGCCAGAACGCTCTTGTTCATTTTAGCTGTCTATTTCTTTGGTAAATATGCTTTATTTTAATGGTTGCTGATTAACATTTTTATTATAAACAAGGTTCGAGTTGTTGGAGTTACCTGTGCAGCCTGCGCCTTCTCGTGCTTGAATGATCTTCAGTTTCCTGTGGTTGTGCTGGATGAGTGTAGTCAAATGACCGAGCCAGCTTCTCTTCTTCCTATTGCAAGGTAACTGAAAAGATTCTTCTCCCAAAGGCACTCAAATATCACAGTTACTTCAGATATATTCTCAGTTCACTGTCTTGCTAGTCTTTTCCAAGAATTTGTAGCTAAATTGGTGTTAAACTGATCTTTTTTAAAAAGAGAAAAGAATACAGAGAGAATTTTTTCATGCTACATTAAAATTTATTTAGATTCCATTTTACACAATTTTGCTTCATAATCCTTGAAATGTAAATAGCCCTTTAAGTATTTTACCTAGGACTTTACATATTTTTAACTAGATTAAAAATTCCTGTTTAGTCATGATTTGAAAACCTAATTCTCTTGAAGAATATTCTTCAGTCTCCTTACCTTCCTATAATTCTATTATTTTAATTAATCCTGATGAAAATCTTAGATTATAAAAGTAAATAATGGAAAACAGTTGAAATTGAAAGTTGGCCACCTGAGATTTACAAGACTTTGAAATCTTCTAAACTGCCTCTGCAAATTTGAATATTGTATTTTTGAAGCATCTCTAATTGATGCAAAGGCAACAGAAAAAAATACTAAACAAGGACTTTGTAGGTCTGAGTTCTAGTTATTGTTCTCTCCCTAGTAAGTAGGGAGTAGAGGGTGAACTTCCATGGTTTATCTGGAACATGAGGGAAGTCTTAGTTATGACTTCCAGTTTTAAAATGAAACAATCAATAAAATTGAGATGAATTGATCACTTTACTCAGGATGTAGGAATAGAGAAGATACAGGGTCTAGAGAGGAGACTAGGGGTATAATGCTTGTAGAGCACCTGCTTCATACTAACCATATTACATACTTCACTTAATCTCTACAACAGCTATGCAAGATATTATCACCTTCAGGTTATGAATGAGGATACAGAACCTTAGAGACATGAAATAATTTTCTGTGTCCATAGAATACAGTAGAGCTGAGATTTGGATATGTTGTTTTGTACCATCAAGTTGGAATTGACCCAGAGTTGACCCTCCAGTGGGTTTTCAGGGGTAGTTAATCACACAGGAGATTGTCCTCCCTTCCCCGACTGAGCAGCTGGCAGATTCGAACTGCATGCCTTCAAGATTCGAGCACAGATTCGTATCGTACCACTAGGCCACCAGAACTCGAAATTTGGATACAAGTTTATTTATGTTTGTAGAAGCTGGACTCTTCTAGAAAACTGCTGTTTAGAATGACATTTAGTCCCTCCAAGCCTAATTTTCTTCATCTCTGTAATATGAATTTGAGCCAAACAACTAAGAGACTTTGGGTTCTAAGACTCCATGTTTTCCCAAGTATGCTCTTTTAAATTCTGATGTGTACAGGAAAAGTGAGCACATAATGGGTTTAAAAATTTCCTCTCTGTGCTGGCCTTGGCAGCACATTTACTGAAATTGGAACAATACAGAGAAGATTAGCATGGCCCCTGCACAAGGATGACACAAATTTGTAAGCATTCTGTCTTTTTTTAAAAAGAAGTTTCCTTTCTGGGTAACTTTCCAAAGCCTTTAATAAACTTATTAGGACTATTAAACTTAATCAGTGTAAAGGTTGCTTCATGGAATTCAAATTATTGGGAATATGTTTCGGAAAACACAGTTATAAATATGCTCTTTTCATTGCATAGATTGATTTTCAAAATTTTGTTTATAGGTTTGAATGTGAAAAACTGATTCTTGTTGGGGACCCCAAACAATTGCCTCCGACTATTCAGGGTTCTGACGCTGCTCATGAAAATGGTTTGGAACAAACACTTTTCGATCGACTTTGCTTAATGGTACATACTGCTAAATTAAAACAGAATTATTATTTATTGATTAAATATTGTGAATCTTGATAAGCAATGAAAATAATAGAAGTCAGAATTGTTCCGAAAGTACTTATTTAAAGATAAGTTGAACATACAACTTATATATTGTTTTTGCCCAACTACCACTCTGTATTACCCCAAAATAAAACTCTGCATCTCTTAAGCAGATAGCATAATTCTTTTGAGATTCATTCATACTGTAGCATGTGCTAGTACATCCTATCTTCTGTGTGGCTAAATAATACTCCACTGTGTATACATACCCCTATCTGTTACACAGTCACTATAACAAAAGATTTAAATGTTCTGGCCAGAAGAACTGTACTATACTTTTACAGAAAGAAAAATCTTACTATGATATCTAGTTTAAAGTACTTTTGAGTAATTGGTTTGTTGTTTGATCTTTCAACAACCTTGAGCTTTTTAACAGAGGAGGAAAAACTGATATGAAACTCTTTGTTAAATCTCAGGTAAATATTGCTTCATTCTTAAGAGATAGGGATTCATAAAAGGCTCTTTTAACAAGAGAGTTTGCATAGAATGGAATTGTTTCCCTGCTCAAAAATACAGAAATATTTTTACTTTCATGATTCCAGCCCACTTTTTTTATCCCCTTGCAAGTTCTTAGATAGCTGGGTGCATCATTGTTTTTATAAACTCTGATTTTATGTCATATTCTATTTAAAAGCATAACATTAAATATATTTGAGTAGATGCTATATTTAACCTCTTCATTCACCTGAGTGCCTTCAACTTCATCCATTTTAGTTCTTTAACATAACAGTATGCCTTTTGTCTAAGTAAAAATAATGTTCCTGTGAGTATTTTGGTAGTAAAGCTTTTAATCAGAAATTCAAACACTCATTGACTTAGACTTTTTCATAAATGTGTACTGTACCCTTGTTAACAACTTTAGTCTGCTTGGCTCCACAGTCAACACTCTTGGCACCAGTAGCCAGGAAATCAAAAAACGTATTGCCATGGGAAAGTCTGCTGTTAGGGACCTCTCCAGGGTACTGAAGAGCAATGGTGTCTCTCCGGAGACTAAGGTGCATCTGATACAGGTTATGGTCTTTGCAATCACTTGTTATGCATCAGAGAGTTGGACAATGACTAGGAAGGATAGAAGGAGAATTGACACCTTTGAGCTGTGGTGCTGGAGAAGAGTATTGAATGTACCATGGACTGCCAAGAAAACAGACAGATTCATCCTGCAGAGGGTTAAACTGGGCGGCTCCTTGGAGGCAAGGATTCTGGGGCTTCATCTGACATACTTTGGACATGTTGTAAGGAGGGACAGGTCCTTAGAAAAGGACATCATGCTTGGGAGGGTGTAGGGACAGCGCAAGACGGGAAGACCCTCTGTGAGGTGGATTGATTTCAGTGACTGGGTGTGTTAGAGGCAGTGTGATTGGCACAGGATAGAGCAGGGTTTAGGGCTGTTGTACATAGGGTCGCTATGAGTCACAAGCGACTTGACGGCACATAACAACAACACCCTTAAGACGAACAGATTGTTGAGGTTTGTGTTTTTTGGCACTATCTTTTTATCTCAATGACAGTAACTTGTTGATATAATCTTGTATTTTATTATATATGTATGTACTTATGTTTTAACTCTAGTGACATAATCTGTAGGGTATGATGCTGCAAACACAAACATGTCACCTCCCTGGTGGATTTTTATTTTTCTTTATGTATGATCTTTTCAATAACTGACCCTCCAAGAACTAGAGAAAGAATAAGGATACAGAAGAATTGATGCCTTTGTGTTGTGTTGGAGAAGAGCATTGAACATCCCATGGACTGCCAAAAGAACAAACAGATATGTCCTGGAAAAAGTGTAGCCAGAGTACTCCTTAGTAGCAAGGATGGCAACAAAACTTTGTTTCACATATTTTGAACATTTTGCTAGAAGAGGGTATTCCTTGAAAATCAACGGCATGCTTGTAAGGGTGGAGGATCAGCGAAAGAGAAGAAAACCCTTAATGAGATGGACTGATCTTAAAGTCCTTGAGTCTGGAGTTTATAATGTAACAAAGTCTGAAACTTCTTTGAAGACCTTGAATGAAATATGACTTTTATACAAGATGGAAAATTAATTAATCAATTATCAATAGCATTTTCTAGTTATTTTAAAGATTTCTTTTAAATTTAGGCTTAGGCTAATTTCAAATAGATTACTAAAGCATAATGTTGAAGGCCAAACTTAGAATTTATCTAAGAATTGGAATGTTTTGTATTTTAGAATATGCTAGTGTAATAATAGTTTATATGAAAATTTTTTTTAGTAATTTCATATTTAGGTGATTTTTTAAAATATACAGTCTATTCTGTTATGGCCATAATCAATTTGAAATCACAATATGGCAATATGTTTTTAATTTTAAAAATATTATCATTTTATTTTCTATCAAGGAAACGAATTTTTATTTTTTGTCTTTGAATTTCTTAGGGTCACAAACCAGTTCTTCTAAGAACCCAGTATCGTTGTCACCCTGCAATCAGTGCTATTGCTAATGATCTGTTCTATGAAGGTGACCTCATGAATGGGATTTCAGAAATGGAAAGGAGCCCTTTATTGGAATGGCTACCAACCTTATGTTTCTATAATGTCAATGGACTTGAGCAGGTAAATGACACTAATGTTGATTGGAGTAAGCACATTTAATTTTCTGGTTTAATTTTATTGTTGTTAGTATGATATTATTTGGTCTTCCCTAGCCTTTCTGGGAAATAAAATTTAGAATCTGTTTTTTATTCCAGATTGAAAGAGATAATAGCTTTCATAATGTGGCAGAAGCTGCTTTTACACTCAAGCTGATTCAATCACTGATTGCAAGTGGAATAGCAGGCTCTATGATTGGGGTGATAACATTATACAAATCCCAGATGTACAAGGTTTGTAATACGTGATAACATTAAGCACATATTAAGTATTATATCTTGTAATATGTACTATTGCAATATGGAGTTTTATTTCATTCTTGGAAAACCTTGAAAGTTATAGTTACTAGTGTATTGAAAGAAAAACATTCTGATTCTTGTCTAGCCTGGCTTTTTTTCTATATAATTCAATGTAAATATAACAAGGTTTAATTAAATTCCATTTACAGCTGTTGGGGCAAAAATGCAAATAAACAAATTAGAAAGAGGAAATATGGTGTGTGCTTTGTGTTTTGGGACAGATGGAATCTCTGTTTTCCAAAATGTTCTTTCATTATTAAATTTTATCAGTAAATCAAGGATATATACCAGATATGTATGTACATGTGTACCAATTTTTTTCTAGCTACTTTTTCTTTCTCAGTGTTACTTATCATTAGTTTACTTATCAGCTTACAAATTAGCACACCTGAATAAGCTTTCTAGTAATGGAAATATGTTTCTTGATTAGTATTGGTATGATTGATTAACTTCTCTTAGAAACCATTTAGGAAAATCTGTACGAGTCCAAAAATGAAAAGTACCCTCTATTAGATAAAATCATTGCCATGCATTTGGCTCAGAGGTGCAAATTCTTCATAACCCTTGCATTTCCTCTCATCATCTTTCCTCCACAGGTTTGTCATCTACTTAGTGCTGTGGACTTTGATCATTCCAATATTAAAGCTGTCCAGATATCCACGGTGGATGCTTTTCAGGGAGCTGAAAAGGAGATAATTATTCTGTCCTGTGTAAGGACAAGACAACTAGGATTCATTGATTCAGAAAAAAGAATGAATGTGGCATTGACCAGAGGACGGAGGCATTTACTAATTGTGGGAAATTTAGCCTGCTTACGGAAAAATCGACTATGGGGTCGTGTGATCCAGCACTGCGAAGGTAAAAGAAAATGTTTTTAATGCAAGCATTTTTATTTAAAACTGAGTTTTGGGAGTTAATGCTTTGGCAGAAACAGCACAATTTTTGATTGTGGAAAAAGAATGAAGTAATAATAATAGCAATCATTTGCATGGAGTCAGAACCAATTCAGAGCTGACCTTTAGTGGTTTTTGGGGAGACTCTAAATTCCATGGGAGAAAATTGCTCATCTTTCTCCCACAAAATGGCTGGTGGATTCAAACTGCCCAAGAGGCACTACTGTTACCTTTGTGTTAGACTCACAATCCCTATAGACATCACAACCAGAGCTCAAGTCAAGTTAATAATAATATGTTGTTGTTGTTGTT